ACCCTCTTTCAGAATGCTATTTTGACTCACCTCTGCTTGTGCATTCGTTCTCAATTAGAGCTCGCCCGAGGAGCCAGTTGCAAAAATACCTACCTGTGGTTTCTTGGTGCCTTTTTTAAACAAGTGTTAGGAAAAAAAAAGGACAAACTTGTGAAGATTGAGCTGTGCTTGCTTGAAGCATTTTGCTTCCTGCATAGTGACCTGTAGTAAAGCGTCTGTGCTCGCTGGTCAGTGTGGATCAGATGAACCCCTGATGCTGTTAGGTGTACAATGAATCTAGGAGCAGCACTGAGCTACTGGTTAGTAATTAGGTAGTTAACACTGTGCTCAAAGTGTTCTGACTGCAGTTTAAAAATGTAATAGGTCAAACTAGTTGATTTTTACAAAGTTTTATAGCTTATAGTTGTGTATTATGTAGGAAAAGCTTCCTCTGTTTTTGGGCTCAATCTGACTGGTCTCGGAGGACATCAAAACACTGTATTTGCAAGCTGCTCTCTGCTAGAGTGCCCTGGCTTTAGTGCCCGTTTTGTGAAGGGTACTGTGGCTCACTTTGACAAAACATTAAGCTGAATGCTCTCTGCTTCTGACTGTAATGTTGATTTTGACTGCTTCCTGACTACTTTGGTCTAGAGAATACTTGCAACTAAGCAGAATCATCTTGAGATTCTCTTTGGTACCTGAGTACATTCTGCTAATAGCTCACTGATTGAAATAAGCTTCAACTATGCCTGTTTACTATACTTATATGTGAGCACTGGGGTTCCTCGGAGCTCACTCTTCCCATGAATGCTTTTACTTGGTGAAAGTCTTGAACCTGTGTGCTGTTAGGCCCAGGAACTTGCATTTAAAATTTTCAGTGTTCTTGGGCGGTGTTAGCTGTTGATAAACCTCAAAGAAGTCTGCCTGCTGCTGGTGTTGTTCTCACACTGCCCAGCCAAATGCGAGAGATCTAGTGTAGTGGTGAGCTGAGCTTCTAAAGAAGTGGTTCTTAGCTTGATCCTGGCATGACGAAAGTTAGGAGACCGTCCTGTGAACCTTACAGGCTACTTTCTGGTCCTCTCTGTTGCAGTTCAAGAAAAGGAAACCAGCTGTGTAAAAGTGATGAATACTGCCAGTGTTCTAACATCTTGCTGATTAGCTATTAAGAAATTTATCAAATATGTGAAACTTACGTACTGGTTCTGTTTTGAATAGAGCTGTTAAACAGAATGAGCTTTGTCATGTAACAGTAACTTCTTGAATGCTGGAAAATCGAATGCAGAAATTGTTTAACCCAAACATGTCACTTTGAAGAATGAACTTATGGCTAATGAACATCTTCAGTCTGGCAGTTCTACTAACTGGTCTGTTTCTTTATTCTGCTGTCATTTCAATGGACAATCACTAGATCTCTTGGGAGAGGGTGAGTAATGTTTTTGATTTCTAGACTTTTCAATGTTAAGACTCCTTATTAAAAACTCCAGCTTTCTGGAGTTGAGTGTTTGTGGTCTCTCTCCCTCTTCCCCTTACTCTTCCTGTTTGATCTTCGTTATATGGTTGCATATAGATAATCTGGCTGCGCTTTCCGGTGTTACCTCTGAGCCACAGATTTCAGATCCATTTGCCCCAGAGCCTAGTGCAACTACTGCTGCAACTACTGATACTACAACTACTTCAGTTGCCGCCGCTACAACTACAACCGTTACTGCTGCCACTGCTGAAGTGGATCTCT